CACTGTTTCAGGCGAGCCCCCAGAGTCCTCTGGGGATGCAGGGGTGCTCAGAACAGGGACACACAATTGGTTTGTACAGGGACTGGGTTGCATGACACTTAATATCCCAGAGATTACCCCTAAAAAAGCAGGAGGGACTTTTTTCAGTACCCAAGCGGCCTTGAGACACAGACATTGAGAACTTGGTTGCTGGTGGGGCAGGCAACCTTTGCAGGCCCTGTGCCCTGTACCACGTGGCTACAGGGCTCTACAGATTAGCCGGCCATAGACCATGCCTGAAGCAGATTGCCCATGCAAAATGCCATCTTGAGACGCACCCAGCAGGGGTTCTGTGAAGTAACCAGGCAGCTGGTCTACAATTACTTCACCTTGGCCCCTAAACCAGGCAGGTGGCCCTGCTGCACTCCCCACCACAGGAAGCAGCTGGCGTGCTGAGTAGCTCAGTCCATGGGGCCCCTTGGGAAGCAGGCAGGTGGTTGTGTCTACCCACACGTTGCCTTCAGGAAGCAACTGAGAAGCCTCCTAAGCAGCTCAGCCCACAGAGACACGTGGTGATCCTATTCATCCCTCTTTGAACCTTGTCAACAGCTAGTCAGTCTGCCCGGAAGAGCCTGGTCTACAGGGGAGGTAGTGGAGCTGGCTTAATCACCATTCCATGGCCTCCACGTTACCTAGCCTTCCTTGAGTTTCTTGGCTGACCCTGTCACCAGGAAGCAGATAGGAAGCCCTCCCTGAGCAGGCTGCCAATCCCCTCACACCACACCCCCGGACCTACTGAAAGCGTCGGAAAAGACAACTTCCCAGCTCAGGCATGAGATAGGAAACCATGGTGACCATCAGCGTGGTCCTCGAACACTCGAGTGTACACACCCTTCTACTTTGACAGCTGCACACCACCTACCCGTGTTTACTGACTCCAAACCCAAGCAACGCTACATACAGTCTGCAAGCTTGTACTTTACCTGCTGCATCCCAGAGATCCCAGAAAACCCCCTGCTCCCAACCCCCATAGCCCAGGCCTTCATCAGTCACAGACATCCCCAACATCTATTACAGCTGATGAAGCTATTCAGGGGACTACTGTGCCAACTTAGCTTACTCCAGCCAAGGGACAAGCTCTCAACTTGTTAGCCTGGAGGGCACAGAGCAGCAGCAAGACAGACCCTGCTTCACCAGCCAGGAGGAAAAGAACTCAACTGACTCCCACACGCCCACTACATCTGGAGCACAGCTGCACAGCCGAGAATAATAAATAACACAGTTTTAAAAAGAAGAGCTTGGCCGGGCATCGGTGGTGGCACACACCTTTAATCCTAGCACTGGGGAGGCAGAGGCAGGCGGATCTCTGTGAGTTCAAGGCCAGCCTGATCTACAGAGTGAGTTCCAGGACAGCCTCCAAAACTACACAGAGAAAAAAACCAAACCAAAAAAAAAAAATCAAAGAGAAAATTCAAAATTGCTTGAAACAAATAAAAATGTAAATACTGCAGACTAAGCCCTCCGGGATAAATCCAAAGCTGAGCTGAGAGAGAAGGCTCGCAGGAGCAAGCACGGGTACCAAATATAGAGACAAAAATTCAATGACAACCACAGGATCAAGGCTAGGAAAACAAGAACAAAACAAACCTGAACTCAGCAAAAGAGAAGTAACAGAGATCAGAGAAGAAATAAACAAAATGAAGAGAATAAGAAAGGTGAGTGAAACAAAGTTTTACAAAACAAAAGAAATGTTTAGCTACACTAACTGAGAAAAACAGAAGACCAAAATAGTTAAAAGCAGGGAAGAAAACAGTAACATGGAGGCCATAGAAACAAAAGATCAGGTCACAAGGACTGTTACTAAGAACTAGAGGCCACCTACAGGGATGGCCTAAAAGAAACTTCTGGTACATGCTAAACTTCTGGTACATGCTAAACTTCTGGTACATGCAACCTGCCCAAGGTAACTACAAACACACAGGTGACCTGAAACGAACCATGAATTGCAACAGAGAACCAGAGGCACGTGCTCCTGAGGAGGAAAGTGGGACGCAATGCTTCACTGTGAAATCTTACCAAGCTTTTAAAGAACCGACACTATTTCTTCTCAAACCACAAAGAAAAAAAAAAACAGAACAGAACAGGAATAGAAGAAACCCTCTCATACTATCAGGTCAACATTATTGCAACACAAAAATCAGGCAATGGCAATGAAAACTACAACGAAGAGAAAAAAAAAAAAAAAAAAAAACAAGAAAGAAAGAAGGAAGGAAGGAGAGAAAGAGGAAATTACAAACCACTATCCCCTATGAAAACCTACAAAAACTCTTGATAAAATAAAAGCCAACAACAAAATAATATAAGAGCCAAAAGCTTATATACCATGATCAAGTGAGATCTACCTCAGGAATGCAGGAATGGTTTAACATATGCAAATCAATAAACACGAGAAGACATCACATCAATGGAATGAAGGCCAAAAGCATGGTCATCTCAAACAGGCACACACAGAAAGAGCATTTGATAAAATCTGGTATTGCTTCGTGATTAAACTGATCCCACCCCAGTTATATTTGAGGGAATGTGTCTCCGTGAAACATAACTCACAGCCAACAAACAACTTACATGATTCTCTCCTCTAGGTCAAGAATGGATGAGCAATCTACATTCACCACTCTACCTTAGCATTGGAAGTCTCACCCAGGGCTGTAAGATAAAGACTAAAGGGCATCTAAGGAAAAGGAAGGGCTAATTATCCTTGTTCACAGATGACATGATTTTAGATCCAGAGAAAAACTAAAGGCTCCATCGGAAACAAAACACCATTAGATGCATAAACTCAGTAAGGTTGTAAGATACAAAAATCACACACAAACCCATCAGGAGTGAAACTGGGAGAGAAATCAGGAAGCAACCTCACTCACAAGATCCAAAATTCAGAAAATACTTAGGGAAAAAACTTAACCAAGGAATGAAAAACCACAAAACCCTGAGTAAAGACACTGAAGGGGGGTGGGGGGCTGAGGGTACAGCTCAGTAGCACAGTGCTTATGTGTCATGTCTGAGGCCTTCGTTCAACACCACCAAAAAGGGAAGAAAACTCAGAGGGGACACGCAGAATACGGCGTGTACACGCAGAGAGAGACATTCCATGTTCATGAAAAAGTTCATCCTCTTAAAACGTCCTTACTTCCCAAACTGACTCTACAGATGCGACATGATCCCTAACAATTCCCAAACTGACTCTACAGATGCGACATGATCCCTAACAAATGCCACTGGCAAGCATTCCTATCAGAAGTAGAAAACAAACAAAAAATACTCACTTTTAAAATTTGTATAAAACCACAAAAGACTCTCCATAGCCAAGGCAATCGTGAGCGAAGGGACAAGGGGACAACTGTCAGCAAAAGGGACATAAACCTGAGTTTAAATTCCACAAAGCCACAGAACCAAAGCAGCAGGATGCTGGGACAGGATAGACCCCCCCCACACACCAAGGGGACAGAATAGCGAACCGAGGACAAAAAACACATTTACAGCACTGACTAGCAACCAAGACGCACGTCGGAGAAAACCGTCTCCTAGATACTCGGAATTGGGAGAACCGGGTGTCCAAATGCAGGGGAACGAAGCCAGCACACCTCTCTCCTTGTATGGAATGAACTCAGAGTGGAGCCTCAGTTGTGGGACCAGAAACTCTAACATTAGAGAGTGGAGAGGAAATGTTTTGGGATGTTGGTCTCCAGACACAGCAAAAGCAGAATTTGCAAATGGCATTGCAGCGAGCTTAACAGCGTCTCCTCTTGGGTGTACTTACAGAGTATGGCACAACTGGATAAGCGTGATGAAGACTAGTTGTGTGTTTTGTGGTTGTGTGTTGTGTAGAGAGGACCCTGAAATGATGCCAGCCCAAAGGAGTAAAAAATGTGTGAGATGATGGATGTACCTGCTCGCCTGCTCTGTAAATGTGTGTCCAGACACTGCATATTCCTTACAAATGCATTTGATCATCGTGTCAGTGAAAAACACCCGGGGCCGGACAGGTGGCTCAGTAGTCAAGAGAGTCTATCCAGCTCCTGCGGAGGACTCACCCATGTCAGAAGGCACATGACCACCTGTAACTCCAGTTTCAGAGGATCCGAAGGACTGTTCTGGCCTCACGTGAACATACGTATACACAGACATACACACACAGGAAGATAATAAAGTTTAAAAGTTAAGAATATATGGGGCTGGAGAGATGTCTCAGTGGTTAAGAGCACTGTCTGTTCTTCTAGAGGAATTATTAGAGTGAGTAAGGTATGAGACTTATTAGAATGAACACACACACATTCTCTCTCTCTGTCTCTCTCTCCCTCTCTCTCTCTTTCTCTCTCTTCTTCTTTGAGGAACCATGACTAACATGACTACCATGAAGTTAATAGAAACAAATACAGGGTGCTTGGACATCGAGCCAAGTTCCTCCCTTTTGCCCTTATATTGTCACCCTGTAGGGAATTGGGGACTTCACTGTTTTGTCTCTTACAACTCCACATCTGTCTATGATGATCACAAAATAAGAAGGAAAAGATGGAAGAGAGCAACATGGTATGTTGCCATTTAGTTTTTAAAGACGCAGGTACACTTGACTCCCAAACCAAACCAAAGCTGAGTGTGAACTGTGTATCTACCCACAGACCCAGAGAGAGCCCAGCTCTAGGTTAATGTCATTTCCATCCATCAGGTAACTAAGCAAAAATGGGCCACTCACTTCTGTGAAAGAAAGCGTGTTTATAGAAGGTTTATGCACTGTTTCCGGTTTGCCCTTCATGGCTGGTCAGCCTTGTGCTATTGGCATTTCTCACAGGCAGGCTAATTTTTGTCGGGTGGGGACACAATGGGCATTTCAAATCAAAAGCAACCAAGAGCAAGACACAGCAGCCCAGCCTAGCGTGCCAGCCTAGCAAAGGCGTGTGAGGAGCCACAAGCTGGGCCTCCCATCTCTGGGAAAGAGCAAGAATGAAGGGCGCGGATCTTACGGCTGGAGACGCAGTAGCACAGTCTGCCGTTGATCTTGCGGAACAGCTGCTTGTTGATGGGCCAGAGGACCAGTGTGCAGAGCTGGATGGCGTTGACGATGAGCCCAGAGGCGATGAACACATAGCAGAAGACCAGGTGGCAGAGAAACTGTGACTTCAGCAGCCCGACGAGGTCCATGACTCGGGGGGTTCTCAAACAGAAATGTGCGTGGTGGGAGGAAGATCCGGGGCTCAGGAAAGTGTCTGAAACACACGGGTGTTACACATTAGCGAAAGCGTGGTCCACTCTATTAGAGACAGAAAAGTAGATGCTTGAAGTTAAAGGTTGACTAATTTTTATTTAGTAGCCATCGGTACGGTCTTGCCTCCTATTTGGCAGTCTAGGCCCCATTAGGGCCATCTTCCCTTGAATCCTCCCAGCAGCCCCTGGGGTCGGTACCTTAATAACAGGTCAGGAACCAAGCCTGCGAAGGTGAAGCACCTAGACCAAGATCATTCCAGTTGCCATGCAAACAGCAGCCATGGTGGCTGACAAAGATTCCCAGACTCGCACTGAGTGTTCTCTTCCTCAGGCTGACACAGCCCTACCCAGCCCTCCCCCATCTCCCTCTGCTGGCTTTCTACTGACCTCACTCCCTGCTGGCTGGATTTCCCTGACCTCAAGCTTACCCTGGACAACATGAGGAGGGCACAGCTGGGCTTGGCTCTACCCTCAAGAGCCCTAGACCAGTTCCCATTTACTGCAGAGAACAACTCAATCTGCTACTAAGTTGCCTGCTGTCCTAACTGGGACTGTCCAGCTCATCTTCTCTCACATTCCTCAGAGTGTGTGTGTGAGTGTGTGTGTGTGTGTGTGTGTGTGTGTGTGCACAAATATGTGCACACCCATCCCATAAGAGCTCATCAGTAATTCAGCCTGCACAGAAAGGGCAGACTTGTGGTGCCATTAGCCAGTCTCCAGATCTGGAATTAAAAAAAAAGAAAGAAAGAAAGAAAGAAATGACCTCACAATTCAGTAGAAAGAGCTCTGGGAGATAGGGGGTAGGCAGGCTCACTTCTCCTAGGAGCCAAGAGGACTGCAGACTACCCAGGAAAGCTCCAAGCTTTAGCAGAACTTCCTCACAGTTGGCAGAAGTTACAATCCATAATTTGTTATCATGCAAAAGATGGCCGATCTGTGGACACTCGCATCTATTAGCTTATACTAGACCCCCAGAAATCCCACGGGCGGAGGCTTCTGTTTGCAGACAGGGTCTTGTGTACCCCAGGCTGACCTCAAACTCACTGAGCGGGTCCGATTTCTTAGCAGTCAGCCTGACTAACAGACACGGCCCATCCCCTGTGTCACGGGCACTCCACCCTGGCTGCCAGGCTGCAATCTGTAATTGTCGCATCTCGGTCTTTCCCCATTTTACTCCCAGGCATTTCCAGCCCGTGAAACTCTCTCCACAGTTTCAACACACCCAGTCTCCCTTTCTCTACAGCATGAGACTAGCCGCTTGCTCTCCTCTAACCCGACCTCCGTGGCCACAAACACAGGGATACCTTACACTGGGTACAGCCTGGCAACACTAACATTTAACGTTGAACACCACTCCGGGAATATATTCACCGCGCCTGCATTAACCACGAATAGCTCCAAAACAATCTGGGCACAAGTTTAATTCATCACTGTGTTCCTGGAGTGGAATACTGTAAGTATTTGACAAATCCTCTGCCTTGAGGACTGGGCACTCAGAAAGGGCAACCGGCTGGTAAGTTATGTGTGGGGATTAAATCCTGCCTCCCTCACCGTCCTGCTCAATGCCAGAAATTAATTAAGTTTTCTTTCCCCACTGTTAAATTCCAGGGACTAGTATGCTCTCTGGTAAACCTTCTCTACTGGTACACTAGCCGGCATCTAACATGGTGTCAGTGATGCTAAGGGACAAAATAGACAAGTCATAAGCGGAACCAGAGGGGCCTTGGCTTCTCTTGGTTGGGTTGTTGACAGCCTCATGTGTTCTCACATGTGAAAGGGTAAAGGTACAGATCCAGGGGTTGGATTTGAGGCCGTGAACCACCATGGCTACTCCATTGTAATCATAACTCTAGGGGAGATAATGTTTCTTAGCTCTGTGGAACTTCATTTGACTTCCACGGTCTGGGTAAGGTTTGCTCACCAAACATTCATGTTCTAGATGCTCAGTCCTCAGCGTGTCGATGCTCAGGTGGTGGAAACTCTAATATATGTGGTCCTGGGGAAGGTGGCTAGGTCACGGAGGAACAACTGCCCTTGGATGGTATTAACGGAAGTTTCATGGAATAGGTTAGTTCTCTGGAGAGTTCTCACCCTCTGGTCTCCTGTCTTGACAGGAGAACTTTGACTCGCACGAGTACCTACCACCCTGAGGTTACCTGTCATACTGCCAGCACCAGGTGCTGACACGTCTTATGTCGACTAGAATTATCTCAAGGGAGGGAACCTCAAAAGAGAAAATGCTCCCATGAGATCCAGCTCTAAGGCATTTTCTTAATTACTGATTGATAAGGGAGGACCCAACCCATGGTGGGTGGTGCCACCCCTGGGCTGGTGGTCCTGAGTTCTATAAGAAAGTAGGCTGAGGAAGATACAGGAAACAAACTAGTAAGCAGCTCCCCTGTATGGCCCCTGCATCAGCTCCTGCCTCCGGGTTCCTATCCTGTTTAAGACCCTGTCCTGACTTCCTTTGATGATGAACAGCAATATGGAAATGTAAGCCGAATAAACCCTTCCCTCCTCAACTTACATTTGGGTCCTGGTGTCTCATCACAGAATAGCAACAGAAACGCTAACTACGATAGCCAAAAGCCAAGGAGATGCAAGCAGCATTCCATAGAATCCCCAGAACTGGAGATTAGGTAATTCTCTTTTCTTAATACATTATCCAGGTTCTAGTATTTGGCCATAGAGATGGAAAACAACCTAATACAGAGTTTATCAAAATAATATGTGAAATGAAGAACGAGGTGAGAAAGGGGGGAGAGAGAGAGAGAGAGCTCAGAAGAGAGCGAGCTAAATCATTAACAATTGTGGTAAGGATGTTAATTGCAAATAGAAGCTGGGGGACCTGCCATTCTGAACTAAAAGGAACTTTCTCTCCTAATTTGGCAATTGGCCAATTTCAAATCAGGCCAAGAAAAGATGGCATAAATATCTAAACAGAGACAAAAATAGCTAATGAGCAAATATTGTTAAGAATCTTTGCCTATTTTTATTCCAGCTTGGAAGTCCTTAGAATAAGTATGTGGAAAATCATCCCAGCAAATTTTATTATCACATGAGGTAAGGGTATGACAGAACTGTACACTACATCTGAGACCATTCAAGCAACAATGTATGGGATTCAGAGATCAACACCTATCTATGATCTGTTTCTACAAAGTTTATTTACAAAGTTGTAATAACTTTATAAATAAAGATGCACGTGATCAACAACACAGTGGCAGTGGCTTAACATCCTCAGTCATCAGCATGAGGCACTGTAAGGAGAGAGATGGTAGATAGATGACAGATTCATAGTAAAGCAATCATTTATAGATGGTAGATCAAGGATAGGTGGATAGATTGTGGAAGAGAGGTGAGTGATCAATAATAGATATCCAAATAGATGATAAATACATAGGTGGTAGTAGATAAATGATAGGTGATAAGATGGTGAATAGAGAGATACATAAATAGATATATAGATGATAGGCAATAGACATAGATGATATATTATAAGTGATAGATTATAGACAATAGACACACAGACAGCGATAGAACTCACCTCTACTCTTATGAGCCATCCACAGTCATCTACTAATAGTGACTTAACTGGTGGCTTGGTCCTATGATTTTCTGTTTTTGTCTGCCATGAGATGTGGCCTGTCCTGCAGGAACAGAACTTGACTGACCCCTGTCCCAGCTCTTGGAGGTTGGTGTTGCCAATGACAAGCATTGAGGGTGAAGGGGAGGAAACCTTCGTGTCTGTGAGGCGAGGCGGGTGTAAGCATGCTGCTTACTGAGGGGAGAGCAAGCAGGGGTCACCCACCAGGGAGTAACCAGGGAAATGCTGGGATGTGAAGGAGCTGGGGTCCAGCCCCACAGAGTGCACTGGGCAGTGAGGCACAGGGCACTATAAACCACTACCTGAACCTGGCAACTCAGACACAAGGCCACGCTCGGCCCCTTCACCGTCTGTCAGTCCCTCAGAGTGGCTCCGTCTAACCCATGCGTGATGCCTACAAGGAAGCTCTCACGCTTCCGATAAAGCGAGCAGTCGAGGGGGAGGTGGCTAGGATAGAGTAGTGTGGCGTCTCTGGGGGGCGCTGTGGGCTGTGGGTGGACTCCAGCTCCTCTTATTAGATCCCTATGCATCTTACTTAGATGCTGGCATCTCCTCAGTGTATCCTGACACAGGTAACACTGCTCATTCTCCAGGCTTTCATTTCATCTCTGCTTCCTGGTAGGGACATGGAATGGGAGATGATGCGCCTCAAAACTCTAATGACCGGGCAGGTGAGACAGCTCCATGGTTAAGAGCACTTGCTGGTCCCACAGAGGACCTGGGTTCGGGTCCCAGCACATACATGGTGGCTCTCAAGCATCTGTCACTCCATTCTGGAAATTCTGATGCCCTTTTGTGGCCTCTGCAGATACTGTATACACACATACACACAGAGAGAGAGACAGAGACAGAGAGACAGAGACAAAGAGAGAGAGAGAGAGGCAAAACACCCACGTAAAATAAAAAGAAATAAAATCTTGTAAAATTGAAGTGACGTCATCTTCTTCAAGAGCTGACAGTCTCACAATAAAGAGCAAAGAAGCGGAAACCAGCAAATCACTGGATCCCTTAGGCGGCCATCTAACGTGGCGCTTACTGAGACACACAAGCACACACACATAAACACGGCCTTCATAATTTCTCACATGCTATGGCTGCTAAAGCAGGTATGTCCGTTCGCTGCCCAGCCTGTACTGATGGAGACAGAGGCAGAGTCCACCCAGGAGAGCTTTAACTGTACTCTTGTCTAGACAGAAACACGGTTTACACAAACAGGAGACCCAGGCCCTCTGCCTTATCCGGGGTCTGCAGCTATGAAGAAAGCATGAGGACATCACATTTGGGAGCAGAGGCTGAGCTCAAACTAGGATTAGTCAGTGTGTTCATTTTAAAATCATCCATCCATCCTTCCCCCCACACACCCGTCTGTCTGTCTGTCTTTCA